TCAGAAGAAGTTACTTCAGAAAGGAGAGGACATAAAGACAGTAGTTATGCTGAGGCACAACAGAGAGAACTGGATCTAGCATTGTATATGCTACACCAACGAGACGTCCGTTGTGATGAACTGACATTGGAACTAATGCAGGTAAGGATTCTAATGTAACAACTGAAAGTTTCTGTGTACAATACTGGACCTCTTCTCTGGAAGCCTGGGAACATACTTTTGGATCTTAGGATTTCCTGGATTTTGGAACTTTATGCAGAGGAATTTTAATACATGCAAAATAAACAATACAGATTGAAAGCTGAGGTATGCTTTATCTACTAAATTTTACCAAATAGAAGTTCTTGTTTTCATATATCATTTTACACTCCCAAAGTACCTCCTAAGGGGGAAATACAGGTTTTAGGTACTTTTAGATTTTGAGCTGCTGGATATGGGGGTCTTGACACTATATTTTGTTTCTTGGTATCTTTCATGATGTTTTATCACCAACAGACTCCTTTAATTAATATGAAATAAGAAGATAATTGTGAATGACAAATTGTGGAAGAGATATGAAGTGCTATCTTCTGAGATGTGCTGTATAGTCTGGTACATGGGCAACATCCCATAGTACAGCCATCTTCATATTCATCACCGTGATAACCTGAAATCTTGCCTGTAGAGAAGTGGTCATAGCATATTTTAATGCCTTGGAAGGACTGGGGAAAATTGGTGAAAAACCTGAGTCAGGATATTCAGCCTCTGATCCAAGAACCATACATGGTACATCGATAAAATGATCCAAAAGTACCAACCACTAAATCACAATATTCTGTTTCGATGTGTCTTTTAAACAAAATGTAACATATCAATGGCAACAAACAGTGCTTTTAGTGAAATGGCATTCACTCATCACGTGTTAGGTATCAGTTATTAGATTATTGCCCTGTTGCATTTTCATGTCAGTGCTTCCTGCTTCCATGGTCTGCCTAAATTCCTCTGCCACGTCTACACTTAAATGCTGCAGTCTGTTTTGGCATGCTGTTGCTTTCCATTCTTCTTATATTTTGTTTTCAGTTTGTTTAGTAATTCATTATAAATAGTGCAATTGATTGAACTTTGTATTCTTATAAAAATCTTTATTTAATCTAATAGTTTCTAAACTACAGTTCTCAAAAATTTCATTTGTAGTGCTAATAATATCATTGGACCTGCTTTTCTAATCATTCAAGCTTCACTTCCATATGCCAACACATTTTTAACCAGAGTTCCGTAAATATATTCAGTATATCTTTGTACAAATGAAGGTTTTAGTATAGTTGGTGCAGTAGTTTTTGGCCGGTGGAGAAGCTGGCGGACGGGCCTACTCTGTGTACCTGAGGTGGCACGGTCAGTGTATTTCTTTTATTTGGGCGTTCAGTCCGATAAGCTCCTCGGTGCAGTCAGCATTATACTATCGCACAAGTGACTCGCTCCTAGCCTTCACCTTGAATATCCCACCGGCCAAAAACTACTGCGCCAACTATACCTCATATATGTCTCCAGTCACTTGTATAAATATTAATACTTTGATGATATCCTTCATACTTTCATATGATAAAATGTAATGCTGATATGCATGTTATGTGTTGAGATTAATGAAAAAGTTCTTGTGCATAAATCCTGTACTTGCAGAGCAGTGATAGTGAAAATGCATTTCTCGTTACTTTGGTAGCTACTGGAAGAACGTGATACTCTACAGTTGCGTCTTTCTAACGCATTACGCGTGAATGAAGAGCTTCGGGCTATGTCCAGGACTTCAGCTATGCCTTCACATGATGAAACTACAGAGCAGTTACAGCTGGGGGAGGAGGAGGTACCTCAGCACATAGTAACTCCATTATCCTTATCACCGTCAGTAAACACTGCAGTAGGGGGGCCACAGGAAGATCTACAGGCTCTAGCTAATAAGTGAGTAAATCCTTGAATTTAATGCTTGGATTTAGTTACTTAGTTTAATTTTTATGTTGTTAATTATGTTTGTAGTTTGCAGTCTGTTTCTTATTTCTTTATGCTGTAATCTTTCTGTTAACCAATAGATTTGCTATTTGATTTAGTCTGCTCAAAACACATACATGAAATTGATTCACAGTTTTCAAAATAAATGATACAGAATAATCAAAAAACTTCCCGGTTCATACACTACATCTGTGTCTAACATTTTTTTTAATACTTTTTTTAACTTTTACTTTTATCCAGTAATGTTTCACAGTTATCAACGTAGCTGACCAAAATGAGCAGGCATGCTACAGCTGTCAAAGCATGCCAGTAAGGTGAAGTTGCTCCCAGTAGTAATCTAAGAAATCTCATGCATGCAGCATATTCCATAAAACTAAAGATTTATTTCAATGACATTGAGAGTAGGAACATTAGTAGTAAAGTTTCATAGAATTTATTGTTTTATACTTGTTTTTCCTGTGTTTGGAAAACTAGAAGTATCATAAACATAAAAATATTTTGTCAGCCTAAAGGTGTTCATGCGGTGGAGAGAAAGTAGGTTAACCCAGCAGAAGGTACAGTTACATTGCCTTGATGTGGAATAACTTATTTCTGTACCACTTGTAAGAATTTGATGGTCTTGCACAATATAACAAGTGCCTGGCAGTAATAATGTGACTCTTAGGAATGTGACAGGAGTAGCCAATGTGCATGTGGCTGAGAAATGTGCTGTTCTATGTTCTGAGTTATATTTATGGTACTACTATATCAGTTAACTAAATATGTCCTTTCCCTTATGAACACCTGCTCCTGTAGGTTATCACAGCTGCATAGTGTTGGATACCATCATGATGTGACATTACAAGAAGAACGAGAGCAACGCCACAATGAGCAGATGCGAATGTTACATCAGAGAGGAAGCGGTATTGTCGTTGATGCCAGTTATACCCTTTGTAGGTATCTTGTAGTTTATTTAAATGAAATGTATAGATTATATTATAATTATGAAAATTTTGGACCCAAATGCATGTTGACTTCATTCTGACTATTTTTATACAAAAACATAGCTGCCTGCTTTATTCAGCTTCTTTTCCCCCATTCTTTCCCCTTGTTTGTGATTCATCCTACTGTATCCCTTTCAGTGCTACAGAACCTCACTAATTGTTACAGTGTTTAAACTAACCATATACCTAACAAATATAAACTTTGGGTTTCTTTCTGTTATTCACATTAGACCATCTAAATATAACTACTAAATTTAAATATCAGACATTCTTTTCCTGATATTAGGCTAAGGGCACAGTTGCCGTCCAGTCTTTGCTCTTTGCGTGAAGATATAATTTGCAATTGATAATCCTTGTTCTGTGTACATTATTGTACTAATGTTTTAGACACCTTTAATTGGCACTTTATTTTCTCTTTTATTCCAGCAGCATTACATAATGAGGTGTAATGTAATTTTCTGAATTAAAGTTAAGTTAATGTGTGTAATTATGTAACCATAGTGGCATTGGCTTTAATCACCATTATCTCATTGTTACATACAATTATTAAGTTGTCACTTCATATTGATAAGTGTTTCATTGTTGTTTTCTTTATCCTTTTCCTCTGAGTGAGTCAATTGCACTGATGGGACAAACTGTGTGAGGCCTGCCATGATCTGAATGTAGGTGATGCTTAGAGCCTTGGTCTTAATTGCATAAGAAGCAAAAAGAAACTGTTTCATTTGTAATATTAGCCACAGAATGATAATAAATAATTTCTAAAACATAATTGGTATAAGAAGTTGAAAGAATAAGAGTCCTTGTTTTTAACTGCTTGTTTTATGTAATATTAGTAGACTTAAATTATCCTCATATAATTCTGAAAAACTTATTGGTTAGATTTCTTACAGTTTGAAATTCTGAACAGAACTATTCTCAATTTGTTACTTTTTTTGAATATCCTATTGAGACTTAATATCCATCAATATATTCTTTCTTATGGCAGCTCGAGATGTCCAGAGTCCGTCCACTGTTCTCCTGAACTGGATATGGGGTCGCAGGTATGTTAGCATTGTTGATTAGTCTCATATTATAAATAACTTTTCTGTAAAGCCCCTCCATCTCTTCCTCTCCCTCCACCACTCCTCTTCCACCAACTGCCACTGGGCACATCTCTCCATCACTCCTCGTTTTATCTGCTCCTCCCACCTTCTTCGTGGTCTTCCCCTTGGTCTTTTGTCAGTCACTATCATATCCAACATTTGTCGCACTGTCTGCCCTTCTCCCATTCGCTTCACGTGTCCATACCACTTCATTCTTGCTTCTTCTACTCTCTCTACCAGACCCCTCGCATCCATTCGTTTCCTAACTTCCTCATTCCATACTCTAGTTTACACAAAATTAATTTGGTGCATACTGGAAATGTTCTTGATATACTAAACATTTACGTAAGTACAAGGAAATTTTTTTGACTTTGCAGTGTGATATCTGTGATGTAAAAAAGAAATTTGTATGTGCATAAATTAACATACAATTCTGTAAGGTATACAAAATAGTAAAGAACTCATTCTAAAAATTTGTTTATTCCACTGTAATATCTTGTATGTATCTACTCTGTCTTCATGTATCTTTCTCCTTTTTAAAAAATGTATGTCTTCTATCACTTTGCCTCTCTAATTGTTGTTTGTTCCACAACTTTGTTTTTAATTCTTCAAGGAATCTAATTGTCATTCATGTGTAACACATGCCCATGCTAATGTATCTTTAATGTGATCTACATTTCTCATCATGTTATGTCTTTCAGATCTTGCCCAGTATCCCTGTTTCAGGTTTTGTCCCTTCATCATTATTTCTTAAAACACTGAATATCAGTGTAAATGGATATTTTAACTTTTTGTTTCAGTACACCACGTGTGATGCATGTGTGAATACCAAATGAACCTTGGAATATCATGTGATGAAAAGCTTGGTTGACGGGTTTAATTTTCCAAGAAAAATTATACAAAAATGTTATATTGTAGATATACTGTTTTTCATACAAATCAACACTAAACCTTTTCCCAAACTTAGTTACACTTTCCATGATGTTCTAATTCTGATGTGAAAGTTGTAATTTATTGAATGGAGCTTTGTTTCCAGCAACAATGTGATAGTCCTTTCACCATTGCCTTACAAGATTTTGTGTAAAATTATTCTAGGTTCAGTCATTATTTCAATGAGGTGTATCAGTTTCTTTATTCACATTGAGATAAAATTTGAATAAATTTGATTTTGAAGAAACTGATTTATTTTACCTGCCAAGGTTATAGAGTTTATAATACCTAAACATTATTGCTTTTGTATATAGTTGAATATGCGCATTTAATTTTGTTCTGGTTATCATTAGAAGTAACAAAATCTGCCCTTTGTTTGCTCCCATCTCAGTGGAGTCTTGATTATTTAATGTCAGGAATTATTATAAAAAGTTTTGATGGAGCCCATGTTTCAAAGAAATGTCATTTGTTTTAATTACCCATATCCATGCTCCATGCAATGGTCATTAGTATCTTAGATAAGCATGAAAGTAGACAAATTATTATCCTCAAAGCCATTCTAATGGATCTCAAGAACAATAATCTGTTAATTTTAATAATATGAAAGTGAAATCTAAATTGTGACTCATTACACAATGGAGCAGGATAATTCAGACAGTAAACTGGCTGGCTGTAGGTTGGTGACCAGGCTTCAATTCCCAACTGGAACATGAACATTTCTTCTCGCCATTCTGTCCAGACCAGCTATGTGGTCCACCCAGCCTCCTGTCCAGCAGATACCAGGGGCTCTAACCACAGAGCTAAATGCATTTGACCACTCATCTCCTTCTAGTACCAAGGTTAAAACATATGAACCTGTATCTGTACCACCATTCACCTTCAAAGGTCAGATATGGATTCCACCCCACCACTTTTTTCTCCCATACTTTTCCCTTTAGCAGTCAAATCTTTATGATTGTGAAGTATATGAGACACCACTATGGTTGAGAATCAACTTTGTAGGTTCCTTTTGCCCACCATCTTCTGCACTGTCATCCAGTCATCAGGGACAAAATGAAAATCCTGTGTAATAGGGGCTCCAGTCTAAAAATGTGGATTCCTGCCTTCAACCTTTCCCATTCAGGTAGTCGGACACCATACCTGGAGGGATATAAAACATCGCAAGTTACTGGATCCATCAGAACACTCTAAAGGGAAGGTTGCAATGGGCACATAGAATGTATCCCTTTATGATAAACAGAATATTTGTCATGGTTTGTAGATAATGGCAATGTTGAAGGTGTTCATGCATCTAAATATTGGTTTCTGTACTTCAGCAACTTTAGGAACAGTCACTGTCAGAATATTCTTTGACTTTGTCACATTCTCAGAAAGAAGTTTTGGAACCCTTATTTTAAATGCAGCTCCTCTTCTTGTCAGGTCGTGGAAGCAGGAAGCTAACAATCTGGTCTGAAAACCAGTGATTCTTTCTTTGGGTATTTAAACAGACAGCAGAATGACTGTAAAAAGCATTTTGAACGTGTCAGAATTATGAAGTGCAGTGATCCAGTTCGCCATTGACACAAATATTCTTTTAAGCAGTAGTTTATATTCAGTTTTAATTTTAGTGTATCTGACTTGGTTCTGCTGACAGGAATCTAATAAGTTTTAGTAGGCACATCTGAACTATTTCCATCACACAGTTTCGTAAGTGTCCATTTGATGAAATTATTGTATTTATCATAGCAATTTCATAACCTATGGTACAGACATTCCGTATTGTTTTTTTCCTCAAGGTATGTCTGTAATATACATTCACTGGCTTCCAAAACAGAATGACAGTGGAGAAATTTTAATATTAATTGCCTTAGGAACCGATTGTACATAATTTATAATTTTAACATACATTCAGATTTATTTGTAAATAGCACTCTCAAGATGTTAATACATTTTCTGTGGTGCAATTTGTACGAAATAAAGCTTAAATTATTTAATGGTACTGCTTGTCACCTCATAAAAATTTCCTATATTTTATTACTTGCGGTTCACTTGACGCTGTCAGTGGCACTTATACAATGTAAGATGATAGGATGATTGATTAATTGGAAAGGATAGGGAAATAGGAGATCATGTCTTAATTAAGGTGGTGACTGAGGAAGATTATGAAAACCTCTGTCAGAATAGCCAGTCTCTGGGCTGGGAATTCCTGAATAAAAGCAGGAATTCTGATCACTAGACAGACACGTTCCTTTGAGAAAACAGGAATGGTGGTCAAGGTGTAAAGCAAATTTCATTTGAGAAGTTGTGTAGTCACTCGGCTGTTCAAGAAATTCCTTACCTTTTATGGAACAATAAAGGTCATCACAAAGTCCACCATTGATCCCTATCCTGAGCCAGAAGAATCCAGTCTACACCCTCCCACTTACCCCTAGGTCTTCCAAATTGTCTCATTCTCCTTAATTTGATCATCCAAGTAACATTTGATAAATAGTACAAATTATGAAGTTCCTCATTACGCCGTTTTCTCCAGCATGCTGTCACTTTATCCCTTTGATCAAAATACAGGTGAAATTTTAGTTTTGTATTTTAATCTTTATGTTCTTAGATAACAGACAGGAAGAAAAAATAAACTTTTCCATATTTTGTGAAATGGACTATTAAAAATGTGACATAAAATATAGATTTCATTAAGGTTCATAACCTCACTTAACATTTTTAGTAACATGTGAAGTACAAACTAAACTAAAATAATTTTACACTTTTGCATACCTGACCACCAGGAAATTATTTGGTGGTTGGGGGTTCCCTAGATGCAGAAGCCTGACAGACTTGCATTATCATGTCTCTTCTGGAATTTTACATATTCTGCTGCACTCAAAGTATTTTCTCTCAGCTTTGTGAACATACCATTGGACTTCATTGTTTTTGAACATTTTCTTAAAATACCAAGCATTCCAAACATAACCTTGAAGCAAACTCACAGAAAAATATGAGTCTTTGCAAAGTATGAGTTCGCTCCTATAAAAGCGGACATTAAATTAAGCAAGACATGCCTGATAAACAACAAACAGTGGCAGATATCACATTAAAACTTTAATTTCCATACACTCGACAGAGTCTTCATAGGACTACAACAAGCAGTATACACACACATTACAAATGTAAATATAAATACGTGGTTGTTACAGCTTTGTACAGACGTCTTATTTTAAAAAAATATTATACAGAGCATAGTAATTGAAAAAATATAAGATTTGCAATATTTAATCATTTTTGATTAAAGTCATTTTATTTAACCAGTGGAAGAAGTGATATAAAACATCTTTTAATGGCAGCTTAAATACTTTTGTGTTATAATTTAAACTTATTATGGTAGATAGATGATTACTGAACAAGTATGTAAATTTTTTTCTGGAGTACACAATATCCACGTGTTCTTTCCATGTTAAGACACTAACAGTACACAGTTCTTTGACCCCCACATTCTACTCTGTTGGTGAATTTATATTAAGGTGCTAAGAAATTATTATCAGACTATAATCATATGCCACTGTAAATTGTACTATTGTATGTATGTGTACATATTTTATACATATGGAATATAACGTGTAGCCTCTATTATCGTAAAATTGATCATGAATTGGTAATAATCGGTGACAAAGCATGGCTTGTATAAAAGTGTTCGCCAACTCCCGAAAAAGGGGTTGTGGAAACTTTTGACGATTAAGTACGGGCATCTTACTTATCTTCCATGATGCACTATCACAAGAAAAAATATGGCACACGAGTACAACAAATATTACGCAATTAAAATCGCTAGAAATAGATTTCCAAAGTGATAGCCTGGTTGTCACAGTTTACGATACATGATGTTTGTCGGTAGCCAACTTTCATGTTGATATTCACCGCAGTGAAATTCGAACCACGATGTTGATCTAAGCTAAAGCGTAGCCTGATGAATAACCCAGTCGGTCCCTTAACTTGGCAATGTTCAGAAATGCGTCATGTGCATTCAGTGACGTAGGCAAATGTCTTATAAATCTAGTAAAAGTTTGACAGTCATTTGAGAAGCACCGTCATTTCGGTATCACCATTGCTAAAACACAAAGGTAGTGACGGTCTGAACATGCCCAACAAAGTTTCAGCTAACAAATGTAGTGTGTGGAAAAGTGAAACAGTGAAAGAACAATTTAAGAGTTTGGAGTTTGTGTATTATCTACGCTTTGACATGTGCTTGACAATAGTGTTCGCAAGAGCCTGTTGAAAATTAACCTCAGATGACCAATACGTCAAGATGGCACAGCTATTGGTATCGTACACAACATATAAGGTAAGATGTACGGACATATGTATGTGTAGTAAATCATTCTCCAGCTCTGTAATAACATTTTAATGTTATAGTAATATTACTCTTGATGTTCTAGTAGAACACATCAGAGTTATTTAGTACAAAATGGCATTGGAGTGGGGCAAACGAAGAAGTCAACGAAAGTAAATTTGATGGCCGCAAATATTATCGTGGGCATTTAATGTAATTAAATTAACGACTTTCATGGAAAATATTTATCTCCATCAAGAATTGAAGTTCCTAAGTATCATTAAAACATAATCATTAACATAATTATCAATAATCAATAACATAATTGAGAATCTAACATGCTAAAGAGGAACACAGAAGTTTTACTAGATGCTAGTAGACAGGTGGGGCTAGAAGTAAATTCAATAAAAACTAAGTACATGTTAGTATCTCGTCATCAGCAGACAGGCGGGAAAATTATCTTGGGATAAATCCTTTGAAAGGCTTTGGTTAATTCGATGATGAGCCTTCGGTTTGGTAAGCCATCTAGTTAGTTAGTTAATGTCTAACTTGCTCAGGGCAGTAAATTGCTCGAAGGTTATGAAATGATACTTTCCGCATTTTAACTGTGTTGGTTTAAATTTAAAAATCCGCAGATTAGTGAATATGAAGTCTGTAGAGGATTGTTAATAGGTCAGTATATGTGGATGTGTGGTGCATAAATATGAGTTATTTATAAAAATAAAAACACGTGAAGTTTCTGCCGCTAAATTTGATTATGCGGGATGACTCAAAATGGACAACTACGGAATGAATTTATGAAGATGGTCAAGCAATTTCGAGATATTTCACAAATAGCAGTAGAATGAGAAGTGTGGAGGTATTCAACTCGCGGACTGCATGCGGCCCTCCGATGTTTTTTTGCGGACCGAGTACATTTTGTAATTATTGTCACACGGATGAATTACTACCCGATTTCACAAACACGCTTTGTTCTTGTCGCCAGTGTTTTCCTCTATCAGTCCCCAGATCGCATGGTGTCTGCCGATGTGTTCTGTGCACCCACGCAAGTTTTACAACATTGTTACTGTATGTTGAAGAATACGTAATTTATATTTGTTTAGTTCTGTAATCACCGACAGGTATGGCCTCATTTCAATTACCAAATATGTTAATGAAAATTATTGGTTGGGTTAATTATGTGAGCCTGCTTGCAATACTTAGTAGCGTTTTTAATAAATTGCCAGCAAATTTAAATAGTCATTAAATGCCAGAGGCCAGCAGGTCCATGAGGCAGAGAACCGATGGTGTACGCTTATGTCCTTACCGGCGGAAAGAATCTTTTCAGTAATTACAGGGCGAAGAGGCAAAACTACTTACTTTTCTCAGAGAAAATATTATAGGGGAATACGTCAGTTTTGGCTCTAGTAGTGCGGTCAGGGCTATTTGAAGGGGCCTAACAAGGTCAAGGGTGCACCAGCAGTTGGTCTGAGTGCCTGGGATGAATGAAATTGCCCTCCCCAAGATCGATACATTACAACGAGTAGTTTTAATCAGATTACATTTGTGTTCTTAAAGAATTGCTTTATTTCTGAGAACACCTTCCGGTTAAGGCCTTAAGTGAAGTTCATTTAAGAGTTTCTGTTGTGGACCTTGTGAATATACTGTTTTTTAAACATTAATTTTGTTTGTAATAAGCAGAAAAGTAAAAGTCGACCTTGCGGTATGAACTCACCATTACAGTATCCCAGTACAGTCAAATACAACATACAGTACATTGCATAGTAATCGGAGATCACCTTCTAAAGCGCCTCAAACCACTGAATTTGGAAAACACAATCATATTTCCCAGGCTGCCTGAGACGGAATGTAAATGTGGTATAATCCCGAAGTTTGAGTTGTGACACTACACAGAGCATCCAGGATGACTTCCTTTATTTTCACAATAGTCTTATTGTACACCCGCTAATAAGTACCCAAAGAGTTGCGCTGATGTGTGTGTGTTTGATAAGAGGTAAAACTGAACCCCAGTATTAAATTCAAAGAATTAATTGCCGAGTGTTAACACATGGACCGTATTCAATTGCCTGCAGGCAATGTGGAAATCCAAAGACTGTGCCAGTGGAGCTAGTATACAATTCAAGGCCATGTGATCCCGCTTTCAACTTTACCGCCCCGTCTCTTGACCACTTCAAAAGCGTAGTCCTCGCCTGATTAAAAGGAAGGCCGAGTGAGACCAATGCCACGTTCACCCTGCGGGCAAATGTCAGGTTTCTCACCCAGTTCCATTCTATCGGTTTACACGTTGAGGCAAGAAAAAGGAGACAAGTTCCATCCTTAACACAAAATAAAGCACAGCTACGTCGCAGAGCCAGGGGCGGAGCGTTCATGTTAACCGTGCTGTCCAGTTAGCACTTTGAATATCGAAAAATTATGTCTTTGTCTTACTTTCCTGGTTCAATGGTACTTATACACTGAAACACAGCACGCTCGCTCGAGTGTTAGCCTCAAACAGCTGGCTAACGATGCATTTTATCTGATCGGCTCTGTTATGATCGTGTATGGAGTACCACTGAACCATGGAACTGATTTATTACTGTTCATTTTTTAAAAAAACAAAATCATCTGATCGGGCACATCAAGTGAAAACATAAGTCTTCCAACATTATGGAGACCGCATCTGTTTTTACCATTTATACAGTTGAAGTATTGTAATAAGTAGAAATAAATAAGACCAAAGTGTTAATGGAAATGGAAGTGTGAGTTCCCAATTCAAATATTTGTTACCTGCTTCCACCTAATACATTTCGTTTCATGTGTTAACATTCTGGAATTAATAATTCTTCAGATATATTTAGAGACTTTATTTTTACCTTTTTCACACATAAGACAGTGACAACTATTCTTAGTTTGGTGTCATCCCTACTTAACAATACTTCATATATGAGAAAATCGAGTGAGACCCACCATTTTGGGGTCTGTAGAATATATTCAGTCAGTACATGTAATTATGTATATTGAACAACTTTTGAACAGATTTTTTTCACAAGACACCCACTTACCATTATTTTAAAACAGGCATCTTTTTTATAATGGATGTGATACGATTGCCTTTGTGTTGGAATATGTCGAACAAGATGAGTTGAACGTGTAGCTTGGATCATTGACACAAATGTAATACTAAATATACTGGGGAAAGCCTCTTGGGAAGTATGGCACTTCAAGGACAGGGCATTAAATAATGATACAGGCTTTAGGGGAACAGGATGGGAATATGAAACACCCAGAGCTTTGATAATAATGGTATTGAAGCTTTAGGTTATTACCAGAATTATTAATCATCAGGGGTGGAAAAATCACGTCAACTGTGTCAGCCTGGCAAACACTTTTAAAATCTATAGATAACACATCTATCGTGGTTAACGTAAAGGCTCCACCCCTGTTAATAATATTTTGAACCAGAACTTCAAAATTAACTTGCATGCTTACATTAGTAGCACTGGCATTTTATAAATATGGCGTGGAATCTAGCGACTAAAGAAAGGGATGCAACTTTAAAAAATTCATTCTTTATTCTCTTTTTATAACTACATATCTCTTCAATGAAATTGCAGTAAAGTATAATTTTTTCATACTACCATGCAATTTTTATATCTGTATATAATATATGTAAAGTAATGTACAAAATCTGTAGGAAAGACTTGTATCCATCATTGATATGATGGATTATCAGAGCATTGAGGTATATCTGAAAATGTTACACTGAGTTCTGTTGTGGGGGTATTGGAACATGCATTGTTTGTTGTGACATCATAACTGATGTAAGTTGTTGTTGAAAAGAATAGGCATCACTGAGAAATTGGCAGCATTTGTTCATCGTGTGCAGATACATGTGTTCTGCATAGTACTCTTAGCAATTACATAGAAAACAAATTCAATATATGTAACATATTTCATAACATTTTTAAAAACTTATTTCATATTACATCTGAGTCAAATTGAGTCATAAATCACAAGATTCTTCACACCTTTCCCCAATCACACATGTTAAGGTACATTCAGCTTTCCTTATTTAAATTTTCCCCATATGCGATATTTAAGAGCCATTCAGTACAGCCTGTCTTCTCGACACATTCTCAGCCAAACATGTCATTCAAATTCATGACATTTTAACTTTTATAAAGATATACTGTGTTTAATACAGTTTTGATCAAATTGCTGTAATATTCAAGAGTCACTGTCCATCGTAAAGCCAATTTAAAAATATCCAACAGTCATTTAAATCATTTGATGACCAGTAAACTGATAGGGTGAAGTACATTCTGCCAGCTTGCCGTGATCTGATCTTGCCAGTACTCAAAAGTCAAGTTTTCAGCCGCATGCAATTAATATATGTGGAACAGATGACACAACAGTGCAAAATGTTTCTTTTCTGGACGCTTTCCGCCCATTACCCTGGGCTCAGATGTGTTCCAGTCTTGATGGTTTCTGTAATCTGTAGCAGTAAGATGATCATAAATTGCTCTTCAATGTAATAAATTAGAAATCTGTACAGAATATAAGAGGCTTGTTTCCTTTGTATTCATATATCTGACCCCACATACACAAGAACTGGTATTATTACAAGTTACGACCTTGGCCTTGCATGCTGGTTGTTCCACATTTGCTCTCTACTGATGCTCCCAGCTTCTGGGCATTTGTGAAATGTAATTTCCCTTAGGAATACATTAGTAATTTTGTTTTCTGAAATAATTTTTAAATTACATTCTTATTTGGATTTCTAAAAATAACAGTTTAGCTTAGTCTTCTACAGTACCTGATCACCATACTGACAAACATAGGTTATACTACACAAGCGAATGTGGTACTGTAAGACAAACTTGCTGGTAAAATTAGACATTGTTACATTATTGTAAAAGTGACAATTATATTCGTCAAGAAATCTAAACAATTAGATGTGCACAGGACCAAAGGCATCACTGCTAGTATAATCTAAATGATATATTGCATTATCCATTCATTTATGATATTTTCATTGATCCAGACACATTAGTCGGCTTCAGTAAAAGTTCGCTGTTTTCTCTTTTGCTAATTGGAAACAATCACATATAAAAGTGTTGTGACAAATTTTGGAATGTGTACCTTTTGGTCTTACAATCATCATTCACACATTTAAACATCAATCTATATCATACACATAAACAATCAATTTTGGTACATTTTCTTTCATTTTATATATATATATAAAACACAATTATACCTTCTATAATTCTCCCAAATTAACATATTATTTTACATAATTTATTTCGTAAGTAATTTTATGAGTAGTGTAATGACTAAATGGCTAAATTATTTGATAAAACAATAGCCCAGTGTTAAGTACAGTTAACTACATTTTGCAATAACTATTATTAATGAACAATATAAGTGGAAGACTAAGATAAATAGTAACATTTCATTGACATCAGTGCATATTTTGTTTTCAGTAAGAAGGGAATAAACCTTCTTTAACAGTCTTTAAGTAAAATGCATCACTGTAGTAAAATTGAAAAAATTTGGCTTGTATGTGTGTGAAAAAACAAGCCCAGGCAATTATATAATTCATGATTTATTTTGTCCCTCACTTCTGTCTAAATGTAAGTTGGTCTGTCTTGAATACTTGGAATAGTGTTTAACCCTTTGCTATTACAGAAAAAAGACATTACTTTGCTACTATGCAAGTCACCTGATATCAAAACAGTGTTAATTATATTATGTGGACAAGGTAAACCATGAAGCCCTAAAGATTCGGTAATTGTAGAGTTGTATTATTATTGCTATTACCAGTGCCACTTAAACCATTTCACAGCCACAGTCTGGCCTAATGAACAAACACAGGCCACAATGCAAATTTTTGCCGGTCAGTATTTGAAAAATTGTTCATCTTTCCTGAATGAAAATTTGTCATCTTCTGACACCGTTTCTCTGCATTTGTAACTTATAAGTTTCACAAATTTATTTACTGTATAAAACAGTATTATGTCACACAGCCTACAGTGTTGTATTCCATGAATTTTTAAGAAATTTTAAGCAAAAATATTGATCATATTCCTAAACATTGGGTCAATATGTTGTACCATGCTGCAAAGACACAGCTTGGAGCGCTAACTTATAAAAACTAAACTTGGCATTAAAGGGGTTAAAACCAGCATTCAAGCATTTGACAGAATCACATACATAGACAGAGCAATACAGTTTGAAATGGTGTCTGTTATACTACTTAGGAACCCATATAAAAATTATAAAGTTTGTATATTTATAACTTTTTACACTTACGATTAATAGTAACCATAATCAGATCGTATGTACAAAAATGACTCAGTGACTAAAGCATTTTTATTATTTTTCATATAACTAAATAATTGATATTAGTATATTTTTAAAGAAGCGTATTTAATTGCCTTCCCCTTGCGAAGTGAGGCTCTCATTATTCCATGTTCTCGAAGTGTAGTTACAGTTAGCTTCGTGGAATTGAGTCACAGTATCACACTAGGTCCTAAACAACACTTCATTTGTCATAATCATACTTCCAAATACAGAGAACCTCCTTCAGTCATATTGTAATCTTGCCATTTATGCAGTAAGGAAGCTGCGTTGCCTTTGTACCTTAATATTTACTCTTGTTCTTGATATTAAATTTATTTGAACATGTTTTATTTGTATAATGCTCCTTCTGTCAGGGTTTTCATGTACTGGTATGCAATAGTACAATCTACTAGCACCCTACTCGTTTGTAAACTCAAACGAGAATAGCCAAAGGTGAAATAAGGATAACTTTTTTGCTTCCTTTCTACACGTAGATGGAACTCCCCATTGCAACCCTCCGCGGTCACAACTACATACCCGCACCTTTGTAGAAAAAAAGGACTGTAACGCATTGAATGTTGGTATCTTTGGAAAATCCTGTTAAATACATAAACACACACATACATAGATACACACATACACACATACATTCGTAGTTCTCCTTGTAACACTTGAACGCTATTTCACTGTCAACAGTACTTTTGTAGGTAGAAATAGAATGAAAGGACCAGTGGCTTCCATCTTGTGCTGTCTTGATGTGATGCTCTTCTGCAGATATCTTCATGACCAGAATTTGTCACAAAGTCTTCATCAGAAATGAACATCCCGCACATCTGTTGGTGTTCCAGCTTTCCCATGCTCCATAATCTTCTCTGTTCCTCCAGACAGTGGTGATGAGTGATCCAAATTTGATCTAGAATTAATCCCCGTGCTACTATTTATAGTGCTTCCCCCGTTTCCCGAAGAACCTCCATTGCAGCCAGCTTCTAGACTGTTCATGGTACCTGTTACCATATCTTCCAGTAGGTGCAGACATCCTTGTAGGTACTCCTAAAACAATAAAGTCACAAATGGTACATCAAATTTGACAAAATCTCTAACATGCAAAGGTAAATAAGTTTAGCTTTATTTAAATTTAACTGTCCTGAACTGCGCCTAATTTGTTTGACTGTATACAGTGTTTTTTAATTGTTCATGCATATGAACAAATACTATCAAAGCACTTCAACATTAAATTAAAGAACCCTTACAGTACAAAATAAAGTATAATTAAAAAATTAAACACAATAAAATATTTAAAATAGAAACAAAAAATTAATTAAAAATAATCTGTTATCAGAGTATAATGTATTGTGCAGACAAGCACTAGTAGCCGAAGGGCAATTTAAAATATGATTTAGTGAAACATTGTTTCCAGAATATATTACTATTCATGCAGATGCTATTTGCCGTTGATGTGCATCTAGCATAAGTTACATGTTTAAGAACTGACAATGAAATATTCTCAGATTGTGAGTAGGAACATAAAGACCAACAGGTTTCTGAATAAAAGACCAGAAGTCAGTGAGGACAGTTCTAAACAGGATTTGCTGAGTTCATATTAGAAAACCAACATATTCATTTTGGTAGTGAAAGAAATAACTTTGGTTTTATTAATGAGTTTCATGAAGTCAGCAAGCAGTCCACCGACTATGCATATCAGATTTATATACAGAAGTCATATGAAGATGCAACAGAATGGAAGATGAAGATTTCTGTCTCTGGGTTGTTGCGCTGTGTAGTCTGGTCGATGTTAACCAACGTTTCAGAGGTCATACTGCCTCCATCATCAGGGCAATGAGTATGAAGATTTCTGTCTCTGGGTTGTTGCGCTATGTAGTCTGGTCGATGTTTACCAACGTTTCAGAGGTCATACTACCTCCGTCATCAGGGCGATCGCTGGTAAACATCTACCATACTACACAGCGCAAAAACCCAAAAGACAGAGATCTTCATACTCACCGCTGTGAAAACCTCAAATCTTACAATGACATAAAGCCTTTGTCTTCCCCCTCCTGGGAACTGAACCCAAGTCATCCAGTCTCTGTATTTACTGTGCTATCCCAGCTCACAATAATAACAATGTCTCATTTTCATCCAGTTGCCTCATGGCCACGTTCAATGCATTGTGGGTTAGATGTTTAAAGTAATCTTCCCCTCCACTCCACACTTTTTTTTACTTCCTCTCTAACCATGTGTGCCCAGAGAAGGGCACCTGTTACAAGTACATAAACTGTTTTAATACATATCTACTTGTGTGTATAAAATCTTTACAACACAAAATTATGGCTTAGATGAAGGCATATTTTAGTAACTAAACTACACAATGAATTATACAAGAAACTGCAAACAATCTTAGAACTGAGCATGAGATCCAATTTGGAAATATCTGGTACCAATGGTTTTAGTACCCCACATATTTTCTTCCCATACTAGAGAGACTTAAGCAAGTTAATGTGCTTCAAAAGGAAAATTTTATGGAAAATCTTTGGTCCCCTAAAGAATAATGATGGATCGTATAGAAGTAGATATAACGCGGAGTTAGGAGATATATTAAATCGCAACGGTTAAGATGGGCGGAACATGTGGTCAGAATGGGAGAGGATAGACTGCCACATTTGGTATTAAACCAGAAATTGTGGGGAACAAGACCTAAAGGAAGACCAAGGGGAGGGTGGATTGATGCGATAGAGGAAGATATGAGAAGGATGAAAGTGTGCAACTGGAAGAAGGTAGCTCAAGACAGGAAGCCAGAGCCCACCAAGGGCTGTAGTGCAAGAGAAGAAGACTATAGAGACTTATCAATGAGCTGAATGAAACTAAAGTATGTATGATTTGAGGTTTTCACAGCGGTGAGAATGAAGATTTCTGTCTTCTGGGCTATTGCGCTGGTAAACATCTACTATACTACATGGTGCAACAACACAGAAGACAGAAATCTTGAAACTAAAGTAGTTCCGCCATCTCATTATTATCCTTCCACCTCCATTTTAGTATTGTACATGACCACTTTTCCACAAGACAATGTTGAAGACGTGTAATATTTGGTAGCAGCCAATATACATTTTCGTTATCAATTTCTGACTTGCAGTGATCATAAATACACGATCTATTTCCTGTGAAGTGTAGATGATAACCCTTTCATTAAGCAGAAACGTCAGATAATATGGAAGGCTAATAGAAAATAAGAAAAATCTCAAAAAAGAATAGTATTTCACATAATGTAAATTTGTAAATGAAAGAGTTTACCTTCTGTAAGAAATTAGTCATGGGTATTTGCTTCTAAGCTGGACAAAATGGATTGTCAAACAAGTCGAAGGTCAGGTAACATGGACTCTACTGTATTCTTCTCAGTGGACTCTATCAAAGTTCCTCAACTTACCCTCTCTATGGCTGTGATCATATGCAGTCTGTCCAGCAGCTGGTTGAGTGAACACCCGCTCTTCACAGTCCATTCCAAGCCATCAAGAGCTGCAGCTATACTCGCAGCAGCGATTATACTTGGCGTATACATGGAGAATGAATAATCTGCAACAGAAACAATGCAATGTGTTCAGTGTTTTCAAAGGCATGCCATGCATTTCGAATTCAAATCCAGTTTCATACTTTGTGTTACCAGTTCATAGCAGTGAGATTTTGTTCATGTGTTTTGTTATCTCATCAGCATATGATCCTGTTCTTCCACAATTTCTTGTGGTCTTGATATTGTGCATATTTCTATATATTTGTTGCTTAGAAGTTTCTTCAGAATCTCCATTTTAATCTTAATATTTTGCTGCTTAGGACAGTCATATGATGTATGCTGAGCTGGGTGGGTAATGTAGCATATACGGGAAATATGAAATGCACACAAATAATCCAGTCGGTGATACTGAAGGAAACAGCTCACTTGGAATACCTAGACATAGATTTGAGGATCTTGGAGAAATCGGTTATGAGGTGTGGACTGGATTAAACTGACTCACGAGTTTCTAGTAGCAGGCTGTTGTGAACATGACAAGGTGTTTTTAACAAACTTCGAGATTCCCAACTTCTAAGGAAGGACTAATCTGTACTTTTCCCACAATACTGATTTAAGCAGGGTTACAAAGTATACGGTGGACTTGATATTAAATACCAAAACATGACAGTTGTGTTGTATGGTAACGCTATTTTCCTTTGATTAGCTCATAGATACGCTGACCATGCTCCTCTTAATATTTCCCAGCTGGAGGCGTTACTGAATTAAGGCGGTAGAGTAGGTAGTTCAAAGTCATCATCATGCTGGGAACACCCTACTAGGGCCTCCATCGCAGCAGAAGAGAATGCAATATAGTTCCAGTCAAGAAAAATCATAACACAAGCAGACCGCCAGCATGTTTGGCCTGGAGCGATCATTAGAACAAAAGTGACACATAGGTTTGCTGCATTACAATGGTCTGGTGTGGTAGGACGTTTCGGGGCTGTCCGCCTCTGTCCGTAGGCTACCTATTCTGTTGGGGCCTTTAAATAAAGTTTAACTGGACTCATATTGTCTCTGTTCCCGTCTTCAGACAGTATGAAAGCGTATGGGACCCGTTAGATAAAATTAATTGTGAAGATTACTCAGAGCGACATCTTAGAAAGTAATATTCATACTCGCCGATGAAATCTTGTCACTCGGCATTTGCCGACTGTTCGCCTTTCTTCGAGTAAAAGCAAACGAGTCCTACTCTGGAGCCTGTTAAATGAAACTAGCCAGTAAAACTAAACACAGGCTAGCTGCGTCTTCAGGCAAAGGCGACCGTCACAAGCCCTCATTACGAGACCCCCTACTAACGAAAGTGGTTAAACAAACCACAATATAAACGAATCGATAAATTCTTGCTCTATAGAGTGTTTCTCTCGCAACGATTGATCAGTGGCCTTCACTTGTTTTCACCCTACATTTAGATTTAAATTTCTCTTGTGTGGTGTTTTATATTAAATACACGGTACATTAAAATTAGATTTCTGAGGAAATTTGACTTTGCGTGTTCGGTGATTACAGGATATTGTATTAATAACGGTCGTAAAACAAATACATTTCCGCTATAGTTAATGGGGGCTGTTGTTGGCAACGTTTTTAATGGTGAATTGTACCAATTGTAATGCACGCGAGTTCCAACCCAGTCACTTGCCGAAGATAAATAGAATTACTGTGACAATATTTCAGTTTATGAAAGTATCAAAACTAGGAATTAAATCCCCCACGGATCTGTAGCTAAGAGACGGAATATTTAAAAAAAGTAGAACTGCCACACTTTGTACCGCACCATAAACTAAATATATAAAAACCCAAAGACTCTTTATCTCTCAAGCATTACTCCTAATGTTAAGCAGATTTCCGAATAAACAAAAAAATCTTCTCATTAGAAATGCAGAAAGTAAGACATTTGTCGCTACCGTTAGAACATTTAACCATTTCCGGTCTGTTTACTTCTGTAAAGTTTTCTTCATGGCCCATCTCCCGTCAGGTGGAGTGTTAGTAACAGAAGGGGTTGAGGAACACTGGCTGGCTGCCTTCAGGTAATAGTTGTGTGGGGGTCTGTCTAGTCCTTGCCAGGAGGTCCAGACTGTATCCCCACCAAATTTCCATATGCATTCTCCCGCATCCCAGCTACTTCATCAGCCCATCGTAATGTCCTAGATTTAGATTTCTTAAGCCCATAAACCAAATTCAGCCGTAAACACGATTAGAGGCCATCTTCGACGCCATTTGCACAAAAACCCACCGCTGGTTACACGTACAATTTTGTATTTCCATATAAACCTACGTCTCTTAAGCGGTTTATTTCCTTTGTGTGTACTTCTTATTCCACTTTCATTTTGTACAGAATCACCACCAGCCCATCTGATTATCATTCAACCGATCACGAAACTTCCCATTTTGTGGAACCGAGAGTTTATTCTTCACTACAGAGGCTGCCATCAAACGTCGTAATTCAGAAACAGTACGGGAGTCAGTGTTGTATCTTGATAGCAGTTTCCTTCCTCGCCTCTGCACCACGTACGATACATATTCCTGATACACGGTATATTAAAGAAGTTGTTTTGACATTCGTTTGCTTGAAAGTGCGTCTGTCATTCACAAAACTTTTAGAATCTTCCTTTGTTTCCTTGCCTTTATTCGGCGGTGCCAGAATTTATAACTTGTGTTGGGCAAGGCCGTGGTCTAGGCAACACGGAGTTTTCCTCCGTGGCATCCCAACAATTACTCCATTCACACACAGAAGAAGGCAATGGCAAACCACTTCTGGATCATCTGCCAAGAACGTATATGAACAGGTCCCAGTCCGAGAAAAGGATGGAAGGATCCTGTTCATATGGACCTGTCGTCAGACAAAACACTAAATAATAATAATAATAATTTAGTTCCTTTTCCTAAAACACTTCATATTAAATTTCGCCACGGCAATTACTTCGTACAAACGTTACAGTCAATTCAATAGAATACTTTAAAATTAGATAAACCAAGGTACAGAATACGAACTAGTATTCTCAGTAACATTGTTGCATATGAACGTAATGGAAGCGATATCAAATAGTAAAGTGGAATTGTCACAAGTGGTGATTTGAAAAAAGAAGACGTATTAAAGAACTAAATTGTATTTTGATATTAAGTAGGATTTGAGGTTCTCGCGGTGGAGAGTACGAAGATGGATGTCATCTGGGATGTAGCACCGTGTAGTCTGGTAGAAGTTAATCAACGTCGCCGCCCTGATGATGGAAGTAGCAAGGACCTTTGAAACGTTGGTCAAGTTCTACCAGACTACACGGCGCTAAAACCCTGAAGACAGCTATCTTATTTTGATGTTATTTATAGCACGCACTGTCAGCAGTGTTGGCTTAACAATTAGTGTATTTTTCACCAGTTTCAGTAACTTGAATGTGCTTCCGGGTCTTAACAGAGATATCTCCTTTAAACCAACGGTTGCAACAGTCGTAATGGATATTTTGCCCAACAAGACAATGCATCACGTCAGTTTCTACGAAAACAAAACTGATAAAACGTTTGCATATTGCGAGAGAAGATAATATCTTCGTCGATGTGTAGCACTCTGTAGTGTGGGTCTCGGTTAATTGCAGTACCAGCACATATAGACGATACGCCACTGGTGGGGGGGGGCCCTTTCTGTACTAGCCAAAATCCTATTACTTGTGTGAATCCAGTGAACTGATCCACATAGGCCACTGATGCTCTTGGCCTCAAGACGTCTGTGCCTGCCCTTGGAATCCAGGACTACTCTCAGACGGCATTTCAGGACACGTCGTGAACTTGTCTTTCCCATCGTGTCTGATTATCAACTGTTTCATGCCTATTTGGACTTATTTCGTTTATTTTACGACGCTGTATGTGATATATGGCAGAAAGATTCTGACAAATGAATCGCTGGGTTGGCATGAAGTTATCTGCCAACCTGGATGTGTGTGTCCCAAAATTCACCTGACGGTAATGAAATATATGAGAAACGTTAATACAGGATAACTTACTGACCAATGGTCATGAATAGAACCAAAAATCGAACAGTCTGATTTGATGGCAACGCTCTAGAGTTGTATTTGAGAAGTTGTTGGTTCAAATCTCCACTTTTCTTGTAACCATATCAGAAAAATAAAGACTGTACATTCTTCAGTCAAGTTACAGTTCACTCTGACAAGACGTACTTTTGTGTTGGGTTTCCTGGCTTGCAGCAGACAGTCTCGTAGGTAAAAGGCATTACATCCGTGTTCAATATATGGTAGATATTCATCGCCACGAAACCTCAAATCTCAAAAACGTATTCTATAAACACTCCGTTAGGTCGTGTGGTCTTCAGCGCCTCTACAACGGGAACCGCCTTTTTATGACGGACGGATCCCCATCATTTGCTGTCTTGTTTCCTCATCAAACTGACCTGCGCTGGACAGTTGTGTTTCGATTCCCGGTAGTGGTTTTCCACTTGGCATCACAAGAACCCCACTCAATCTCCTACCTAACGCCACCGTCGGCTGTATTCCCACAGGCAAAGTGGCATGCCTCCATAACAGATTACTTTTTACACGGGTGCAATCCCCCCCCCCCCCCCCCACACCCCCCCCGTGTCAAATGTGTCACGAAGCTAGAATTAATTTACAAAACATGGGTTAAAGGTTGTCCACTTCGACAAGAGTTCTCTGAATTTAAACATTTAATATGCATGTGATAATTTACGTTTCCGCGAGGATCGTGAGATGACGTAACTCTTATTCGAGTGAGTTTCCTGTTAACTCCAGACGCGTTGATCGACAAATTAAAACCACAGGTTGTGGTGGAATCTCGCCCGATCAAATTGGAGATCAACTGCTGATGCTAACTGATCCTCATGAACTTGTGTTCTGACCTCTTGCTAATTGCTCTTTCAAAATGCAGACACTTCATTCAATTCTAAAGGGTTCCGATGATGGTGGATTACTTTTGTTTTCATCGTCATTTTTAAAAGACGATGGGAAAAAGTCCAGGTAGCGAATAATTTAAAGTTAAAATATCTACTTCCTCATTAAAATTGGTT